AGCAAAAATTGAAGATTCACCTACAGCTCTAATAATAAGAAAATAATTGTAATGTAGTTTAGAATGTTTGGATTCATTAATAAAATAAAATTTAAAATTTAACATAAATAAATAAATAAATAAATATATATATATATATATATATATATATTAGATTAAAGATATTTCACCTGGTTCGATGGAAAGGACTGGCCTCTTTTAACACCTTTGATCAAAAGAAAATTAAAATTGTAAAAATTGACTTGTAATTTTTTTTTCTCCAAAACAATTGAGGTGACACACACATATGTTTTTTAAATATTTTTATTATGATAATAATAATATACCATTGTCATTATTGCATTCTTATCTTCTTTTTTTCTATCTCTATTATTGAATAATCCAATAATTAATTAATAAATTAAACAAAATTCCACACCCTGATAATTAATTAATTAAATCGATTATTTACCTGTGGTTATCTAAAACCTTTTCCAAATGAACATTAGACACAACATCACCACTAATAAGAATAAAATCTGAACTAATTAATTGTTTAGCATCAACTTCACGTAAAACATCACCAAGTGAACGAGCTTCAGGTGTAAAAATTGTAAAGATCTTAATTGGAGAATAAGATCGATTCCATTTCGAGGCTCTTCATATATGTATAAAAGTAATAATTTGAATGTGTGATTTTAACTATTATATATAAAAATAAATTTGAACCATACTCGATATAATTCCTTATTTTCTCAGCATGTTCTCTGCAAAAAAGGTAAGCTTCTTGAACACCAGCAACAGCAAGGAATTCAAGTGTATACTCGATTAAAGGTGTGTTGCATAAAGGCATTAAACACTATATAATTTTCCATATATATATTAAAATGTGTTATTTTAAAAAAAGAGAGAAAATAATAAAAATATACTTACTCGTGGTGTGTCAAAAGTTATAGGATGAAATCGTTCATTAAAGCTATCAGCCAAAACAACTGCTTGTAAAACTATTTCTGTTTCAATATTTTTACCTGAATTTTTAGAACTTGGAGGTGACATTTTTTTTTTTTTAATTATAAAAATCAGAATTTCTATCGTTGATCGGCGGATATTGCGCCGCAAAATCAAGTGTTGTTTGTATCTCGCGATTATGACATGCAAATCTTTTACCTAATAAATCGCGCATTTACGAATAAAAGTAACTTCTTCAGCTTCATATAAACAGTGCTATTGAAAGAGCATACACAACCTTGGATTTTAAAAATAGCGAGGATGCTAAGATATTATTATTTATAATAAATCACTGAAGAAAAACATTTCAGGATTTTTAAATAACAAACGCATTTCAAAAACACAGAAAATGTGAGTTTTTATCAATAATTATCTATGGTGTCTGCATTTACTCTAACAAAAGAATAATAGATGATGGCATTGTGAGTGGATTTGAAGGCATGTGAAATTGGTTTAATCCATTTTGAAAGAATTATTGCGCCTTATAAAAACATTGACCAAATGACGTGTTGGTTAAGTGAGAGCTCTCACCGAAAACAATAGAGCATAAGATAATAAACCAAGACCATTATTATCATCACCATCACCATGACTTTAATAAATAAATATTTAAAGGAATATGATTATGTTAGTTGTTTTGTTGAAAGGAATAGATATTAATCATGGTGAAGATTTCAATATTTTTTTGAGGGAAGTGGAAATTACCGAATTTATTTCCAATTTATTTGATTGATGATAAAAGCAATGCCAGAGTTCAGATAAAAAATTTTAATTTTCAGTTCATAAATTCAAAAATTAACATTATAATCAACTCGCACAGTTAAAGGCTACTGTACATATCCCTACTTTCATCCACCTCCTTGCCATTTATAATACCCTGGACTTAATTTGATTGCAACTTGTATGCTCTAAGGTACAAATGCAAATGTTTGGCTGTGACATGTATATTTTATTTTCATAAAAAAACAGTTTTAACCAATATTTATATTTACTACAAACTTCTTTCTTTCAATTTTAATGATGCAGTACTGTTATACTGTTTATTAGTGTATCCCAGGTGCTGTAGTGGTAGTAATATGTATTGAAAAGCTGCTTGTTTTCAATTAATTTTCCATTTTAAATCTCTTGATCCTGAGACAAATAAACTGTTTACTTTTTTATATCATCATTTTGTTACAACTAATCATATAAATATAAATGTATTGTTAAGAATGTTCTTCTTAAATATTCACGAAAATGGTTTTTTAAACCATATATTATTAAAAATAGTAATCATGCCTTTCACTTAATGCAAATATCACGCGAGATTGACTTATTCTTAAAAATATTCTAGAATCCAAAACTAAATTAGAGGCACGAAAAATAATATCAAAAAAATTTCCTAATAATATATTGGATATTAGATGCATTGCTCATTGTATCCATTTAATATCCAAAGATATCATAAAGCGTAAATTTGCAAATCAAATTGTAATTCACTTGTCAAATATTTCAAAAAATAATATTGTGCTATCTCTTCTCAATGAAGTTATTAGTAGATATAATATAAAAGGTGGTTCTTTAAAAAATTATAGCAGAATTCGTTGGGCTCTGCATACGAAACTGTGGACTTTCCGGCCTAATGATGAGTATCCGTCATCCGTTCATCTTCTAAAAATCAATCTGTCATCCGGTCATTACTCAAAAAATGCATCCGTTGGATTTCACCGGATTAAAATGATCCGTATTAGTATAATCCGTATAATTGAACGGATAATCCAATGAAACACATAATAATAAAGATACCTGCCATAATTAATTAATTGCGCTGTAGTGACCATTTGCGGCGATAACATTGTGATGGTAATTATTTATGCAGCAGCGGAAAATGGTAGTTACCAGCCCAAACAATTTGCAGCAGGTATTTTTGGTTTAGCAACTTTAATTGTTTTTTAGAATTTACGTTTAACACTTCATATCCATCACACAAAATAAGTAAAGGAGCAATTGCAAATAAAACAATGATGATTAAGATATGATGCATGAAAATTTATTGTCACGATATATAAATAAAAAAGTTTACACGTGATAATAATAAATAATCGGATCTATTTGCACAAAATATGGTTATAAATATAAATAAAAATAAAAGGTTTGGTGAATTTCAACTAAAATTATAATGTTAATAAATAATATTAGCACATTTAATAATTATTAGCAAGGATTAACATTTTCAAGACCAAAACTTCCATAATATTTCAACACTTTCAGTAATTTTTTATTTTCAATCCAAATAACAAGGATTAATAATAATAAACCAAAATATTATCTTATAATGTCATGAGAATAAATGGTTAGATTCATATCTGGTGTTTAAGAAAACACAATTCGTTTGTAGGAAAATGATGGTTAAATAATTCTATGGTATGTATATATACACATATATTAATTAATAATTTCTTTTTTTAGCATTTTTAATATAAAAAAATTGTTTTTGATTTAATAGCAACAAGATTCATAAAATGGATTTTCATTTATGGGTTCAACACCAAAAATTTTCAAATATGTTGTGTCATATTCCACTTTAGAAAAAGATTTGAAAATACATTGCACAAATGGAAAATTTATTTCAAAAAAATAGAAGAAATTAAACATTTTGGGATCGGATTGCAAATGCAGCAAGGCCAATTAATCAAAATATTGGCATCACAAAAATAATGGATCGTTCTATGATACTTAAAACTAAAAAAAAGAACATCAAATAATACCATTTGATTTCCGTTTAAGAATAGTGGGTTATTTTGGCTATGAAATGAAACATGAATCTATGTAAAGGTTGTTTCTAATTATGTTGATCCAAACAATAAATGTCCTGATTCAGCATTCATATTTTCAACATACACAGTAGTATTCGATCACTCAAAAAAAAAAAAGATTATGGTCAATTGGATTAATTAAAAATGATGATTGTGGTAATTCATTGATAGATTATAATGAGTTGGAAGAAGGATTGGGAATTTCCCTCTTACTGACAGCTTATCATTAGCAAAATCAACTGAAGAAAATTTAAATAATGTAATCGCTATAAAAAAAACACCAAGAAAAAAATTCCAATTAATAAGAACCATTACTGCCATCATAACAACAATAGTAGTATTTGATAGTTATTGTTTTAGTAATGTTTATAATAATCATAGGTAACATTTCTATCGATTTTACAAATTTCATTCCTGATGTGAATTTGGATCAATATTTAAAGACTATTGAAAGAGCAAAACCATTGATTTACAAAGGTCAAAGTTACAAATTATGCCTTACAACGCAATTTGTACCAAATTGCCAAATAAACCAAAAAAGATTGATGATATTCTAGGGTTGAATTACTACATTAGTTCAAATAATCTTGTGCCTTATTCAGATCTTATTTATTTTAATAACCTAAATTTATCAATATTAAGTTTGTCACCTGAAAAGTTCTTAGAATAGATGATAAGGGAGTTTTATAGAGATGAAGTCAATAAAAGGTACAGTTGCAAATGTGAATAAATGTTTTTGCAAGAAGAAAAAGACTAATGAAACAAAGGATCAAGACTATGATAACAAACGTGATCATGAAGAATGTTGTAAAATTAAAAGAAAAGAGTAGGATTTAATACGAATTTATATGCTAGAAGAAAATATTAAAGAAAGAGCTGAAAATTTAATGGTTAGTAAATTGTGAAAGTGATTACATACATAAATTGTATAATAAATAATAATGATAAGGTGTTTTTGATTTTTAGATTGTGGATTTAATACGTAATGACCTTCACAGATATGTATTCCTAACACAGTCAAAGTACCATATTTGATGAAGGTAGTAGAATCATATAAAATGTTCATCAATTTGTGACAACTGGTTAAAGGAAATTTAAATAGAAATATAGATTATGTTAATGTCATCAAAAATTGCTTTCCTTCTGGTAAAATAACAAATGATAATTTCATTGTTTTTATTCATCCACTCTGGATTATTATTAATGATTTTTTATAAAATGTTTGTAGGATCAATGACTGGTGCTCCTAAATTACATAATGTACAATTACTTGAAAAGTTAGAAAATTATATCTCAAGAGGTGTCTATTCTGGTTGTTTAGGTTAATGATCCAAATACTCCTAATAACCATAGGGGTGGTGTGCCCATTTCAGTGTTGTCATTAGAACAGTTATTATTTGTGATGAAAAAGGTGTGTTAAAAAAACTTTTTTCAAAATGTATTTTTTATAATAAACAATATGCATATATGTTTCTAGATGTGCTGGTGGTGCTATCATAGATCTTTCAAACCCAGAAATGGGATGGCAAGAAATTTTATTAAAATTGCAATATAACAAAGTTTGATTTCTGAATAAAAAAACATTTCAATTATTTTTTTACCAATATAATAATAATTATAATAATAACTGTCACATCTTTTATAAACCAAAAATATCTAATAATTATAACAGGCACTTTAAATTTTCTGTTGGTTACAATCTAAATGATACTTTAATCTCAATATGTATGCATGCTTAATTAATATTGATATATATTAAATTCCACAACATAAAATATATTTAATCATAGAATAAAATTCACTTTAGGCATTATAATAAATAAAATTTGTCACAAAATCTTTTTGTGATTTTACAAATGGAACTATTCTTACAGTGAAAGATTAATTAGACAAGGTATATTTAATCTTTTTTTTAAATTATTACTTCACCCTCTTCCATATTTAGATAATAAAAAAAACCCTTTATATATATAATTTTATTTTATTTCTTAATGTAAAGACAACAGTTAATAAGTAATATATATATTAATATCTATATAATTGTCAATAATCAATATTGAATCATTTCAAAATTAAGAATTAATTTGTTTAAAATTTCATGGTTTTTGTTTTTTACTACTACTATGATTATTATTATTATTATGATTTCTAGAACTTGATGATGGTGATGATGGTAATGATGACGATGATGAGGTGTTGGCAGTTGTTGATGGCAGTAATGATGTCGATGATGATGGTATTGGTTCTATTGCAGGAACATCCCATTTACTTGCACGTTTTTTACCTTTGTAATTAAGTATTATTATTAAAATTAATTAATTAAAAATGGATTTTTTTACCACTGATTATTTTTACCTATTACTGTTGCTGCTTTCGATGATGATGATGATGATGAAGTTGTAGGCGCAGTTGACGTTGATGTAAATCCATAAGGTTTTGAAGACTTTTCTGCTCTAGCCGCTAAACTTTGCATCACATGTCGAGCTTTTGATATACTTTGTTGCTGTTGCTGTTGCTGCTGATGTTGATGCTGATGTTGATGTTGATGTTGATGTTGATGTTGATGTTGATGATGATGATGATGATTGCTACTAGATGATAATGATGATGATGATGATGTAGAAGAACTAACAAATGCTAATTGTGATCTTTGTTGTTGTTTTTTGGCTGCTTCGCGTTCTTCTGCAACTTTCTTTTGAGTTGCCGCTTTGAAATAAAAATACATATCATATTCTGGTCTATAATATGGAAAATAATAATAAAACAAAAAAAAAAAAAACAAAAGAACCGAAAAAAAAACAAACAGAGAAATTTTTTTAGAATTGTTATACAAAACTGTGCATGAATTTACCGAGTTGATCTGCGTATGCTTCCGCTGGAAACCCATATGGATCATATACTTCTCTATCAAAATTAGATCCTATTTCATCCAAATGGACAAATTCAACTAATTTATCATATATATGTGGATTTCTAAATGCTTTGTTTTTTAATAAATGATCATTAAAATGAACTCCTTTATCCTTCAATTCAAAAAAGTGTGCTAATTTTGCCTTTCGTGATTTTTAATTAAAAAGAAATTAAAGTATATTTTTAATGAAAACTTATTTGTTGTATGTAATCTAAACATCTTTCTTGCAACTAGTAATAAATACCTCTAACTCTTCATCACATTCTTGTTCAGATTCTGCTTGATTATTTGGATCCACTTGCATTATAAAATTAATTATTGATGCTATTATAGTTGTAAATAAACATTTAAAAAAAATAATATATATAATTATCAAAAAAAAAAATTTTTTTTTGTTAAATATTAGAATATTCTTGAATCTTGTACATACATATAGATATATATAATATTATCAATATTTTTTTATTATTAACTGCAGGAGAAGCCACCATTGGTTGAAATAATGTATTTATTGAATAGATTACACAGAATAGTAAGTAGTTTTAATTTGTTTGAGGACCCCGCAAATCTTCACGGATAGGTCATATAAATAATAGGGTCAAATTATTAATGTAACAAATGAGCATAATGGAGTTTGTTGTTACACGAAATGTTATACAGAACTCATTGCTCCTGAAACTTCACTATAGTAATAGTTGTTACGTCTCTAAATTGGAGATCAAGTTCAAAATCCAGAATGTTTGATACCGTGTATTTATAGTATTTTATTGGTTGCACGTGATACTAATAAAAAATAAAAATTTTATCAAGAGCATTAAAATTGTTCATACAAGAAGAAAATGTTAAACCTTTTAAGCTTTGGCATTTATTACAATTGGCTTAATACTATCGTGTTGTCATCTTCAATATCTTCAGTAACAAAGCTCTTATATTTTTTATAGTTGGAATTATTATATGGGGCATGCTGCAAGAAAACCAAAGTGAACATTGGTGTTACTGTTGTATGTGAAATTGAAATCCACATATGTAAACTCAATAAGTCAGTCATGTGGGGGTGAGCTCATATGACCGACTTATTGAGTAAACTGACTTATTGAATTAAATTACTTAAGGGTAGGGGGATCACATGTAGATTTAATAGTACCGTATTCTCTGGAATATAAGCACCACTCAAATATAAGCACCAGTATGAATTTGCAATGAAAAAAAAACAAAAAA